GCGAAGCGCCAAGAAATGGCCCAAACCTACTGTCCTGACTTTTTGTACGACGCGATCCTGTCCTCTCCGGCTGCTTCCGCACGGGGTGGAGACATCGGAAATCCCGTGGGTCGCGAGCGATACCGGAATTTGAAGCAAAATTCGTGGAGACCGGTCTTGCTGGTCGCGACTGGGAAATTCCTGTATCCAATGATCAGGGTGGGCGATTCAGGGTCGATGCGCCGCCCCCCTAACGCTGCCCCTGACTTCCTCAGGGCCCCCCCCCCCCCCGTCCCGCACTGCATTGAGCAGAGACCAACCGTCCCGGCATTCCTAGAGGGCCTACCGCGACATGTTCTTAGAACCCGAAGATGTTCTAAGAACAAGAACAACGCTCCTACAACAAAACCCGATGTGTTAAAACAAGACAGCCTCGGCCAGGAATGTTCTAATAACACTTCGCAGAAAAACCCACACGAAGTTATTGGAACACTATTTGGTGGGCCTATAGGGCCGCCAAGACGCTTCGCCACTGCTTGACTTCTGAGCCGTGCACTCCCGTGCCCAACGGGGCAGCCGGCAGGTTGCCGTGCCGGCAGGCAGGCCTGTGCCGTGCGCCGCGTGCGCGCATGAAGGTTGGAGGCGGCTGGGGGGGCCGAACTGGAGGCAGGGGAGCACAAGACTGCACACACTGCATCGGCATAACTAAACCATGAACTGTGGGACCCCCTTCTTGGCGCGCGGAGCGCGCCGGGGACGGCGCCAGAGGCGCCGCCAAGAGGGCCACGCGCCGATCCCAAAGAAATCTGCGCGGAGCTCTCTGCATGCCGTTTTCTCATGTTCGAGAAAGGGCTCCGGGAGAATCTGTCGAGAAGGGGGTTCGACAGTTCCGGCGCCCGAACGCGCCCTCCCGAGGCCGAAGAGGGCAAACACTGTAGATCGATCCCAGCACCTCGAACCTCGCCTGCCGGCAGGAAGAAGTGCTAGGTGGGCACATGCGAAGCCGACCCCCCATCCCCCACGGTTTCCAAAGTGGGGGGGAAGGGGGTACAGGCGGACTTGATTGGACAGGACACGCGAGAGGACACGAGACCCTCCCAAGGTTCCGAGGGCCACATTGCCATAGCGAGGTGAGGAGGCATGGGTCGCGAGACACAGCACACAAAGGTTCCCTTGATTTGGCAGGGTCGACCTCCTAATCTGGGCCGACTGCAGGGGTTCACATGTGGTCACCGAAGTGCTGGGCCACTGGGGCAGTGCAAAGGGGGGTCACCACTAGGGGGGTCGCCACTTCCTCGAGGAAACGCCACTTCCTCGAGACTTCCTCGAGGAACTGGGCCCCCCAGAGCCCCGAAGACGCAAAGAAACGTCCAAGAACATCCTCGACCCCTCCGACTCTCCATCCTGGAACCTCGATTTCCAGGAGAAGCTGGCGACCCCCCCAGTGTTGACCCGCCTTGGCACTGCCTGAGCCACCTCGGGCCCCCAGCCGACTGCCAGTTGGGAGGCCCGAGCGGCCGCCCCGCGCGCCGAGCCCGCGCCGCACAGGCCGCACGCTGGCCGCAGGCTGGGCGGGGGCCCGCGCCAGCTGCGCACGGAGGCCGCGGCGTGGGGCCGCTGGCTGAGGCAGGCCCTCCGCCCTCCTGGCGTAACGACATGGGCACTCCAGGTTTCGCAATAAAAGGGAGGGGGTCTGGACCCTCCAAGACAAGCCATTTCAGACCTCCCCCGTGGGAGAACCCTCCAAAACATCGTCCCCAGACCCCCCCAGGCCCTCCAAGATAGCCTGGAGGACACCCCCCCCCGAAATGAGACCCCCCTCCCTTTATTACAAAATCTGGAGTACGGAAACAGTGTCGGCGGCGAGCGAGGGAGGGGGGGGGGGTGAAGGAGAAGGAGATGGCCTCCTCGGAAGGCGGCGGGACTTGCCAGAAGCCCTCGCGCCTTCCCAGAGGTTTTTTTTTGTGTTTGCATCGTCGGGGAAGGCTTCGAGAACTTCTCAGAGGGCAGGGGGACTTTCGAGTCTTCTGAGAAGGCCTTCTCACCCTTGGGCTCGCCGCCGACCAATTTTTATGATGCCCTATAGCAAATGTTGTCCAACATCGACAGCGGCCGCTGTTGGGCAGGCGGCCTTCTGTCTTAACTAGAGAACGTCCGCGGCGGCGCGGACAGCGAGTCCTGCCCCAAATGAACAGCAATTGCTCTTGGGCATCGTACCCATCGTGTCGATGATGGAGGCCTCCTAGATGGGGTCCGAGCCTGTGAGGCCGAAGGATTGCACCGCATCGGAGATGAATCGGCGATGCATCGTCGATGCCTCGCCGATGCATCAACGACGTCGGCGTAGAGGAATTCGGGCTCCACATCGAGCCGCATCGCCGATGCATCGGTGATGCATCGGCAATGCGGAGTGATCCGCCGACACCGCTACTCCGACCCCATCTGGGAGGCCTAGATGTGAGGGCTGCTGGGGTTGGCCTCCGGCAAGGCCCCCGACTGGGATGACACCGACCGATCCACCGACGCCAATCCTGAGTCTCCCAGGTCATTGGATACAGGTTTTTTTCGGACGCAATCGGTAGCGACAGATCGGCACTCCAAATCAATGGCGACCGATCGAACCAAACTCCAAAATCGGTCGAGACCAGTCGCGACCGATTCTGAAGCAAATCGGTCGCGACCGATACATGAATTTGAAATAAAATCCGTAGAGACCGATCTTGTTGGTCACGACTGGAAATTTCCAGTATCCAATGATCGAGATCCCTGAGATCTGGGCCTTGCAATTGTTTCCACCCAAGGAGTGCGCTTCGGGCCCCTGGGTCCTCACAGATCGATCCGACTCGAAAATGCTTCAGAACGATGGGGCTCTTCCGGTCGAGATTTGTTGCGATGTGACACTTGTTTCGTAGCGTCGGATCTGAAGGCTTCGCCCTCCTGGTATGGGGGCTGCCGAGGTAGGTCTCAAACTGAAGGGGCCCTGGGACACACAAATAAACACACACAAATAAAAATATTCGCCATATTTTCAAATACTTCCTGGGTTTTTGTCTTCCCCACCACTTCCCATATTCTCCCATATTTTCTGGAGAATCGACGATTCATTGTGTCTGTGTGTGTTTTTTCCCCTCCTGACAAACAGGCCCCCGCTAGGGGGAAATGTGGACTGGTCCACCGACGCCGGTCCAAAACTCTGGCGCGCGCTCTGGGGCCTGGACCGGAGCGCTTGCCCCCCCCTGCCACGACTGGGGGGGCACACGCATCGATCCTCGTAGTGGGCACCGTTCGGGTCGGGGGAAAGGGGGGGATAGCAAAGGGGGGGTTTGAGAATCAGCTCACGTAGCTGATTGTCCCGGCGCCTCCCGGCGTCGGGAGGCGCGCATGTATCGAGGAATGGGCCCCTCGGTGAGGCCGAAACCAGCTGCATGCAGCAAATTTCGTAACCCCCCCTTTCCCAATCCCCCCCTTTCGCCCGACCCGAACCGTGGTCACTGCCTCGAAAAGATCTCCGAAACTCTCCGGAGGGCCTCCGAGAGGCTCCAGAGGCCCCCGCCAAGCAGAGCAAGGCATGAGACATCAAACGCATCAATCCTAGAGGTCCTCGATCCTGGGCCCAGGGTGGGCTCAGGCAAGATCCAGAACACCCAACGATGTGACTCTCGCTATGCCCAGCGCCCAATTGTCCCAACCACATCCCCAAGCGTAAAATGTTTCGTCCCGCATTCCTCTTGCCATCGCTCGGACGCCCGTTCCACGTGCATTTTTCGGTTTCGTGCGTGTCTTGATGATCCAGGATGCTTCTCGACGGTCGTCGCCGGGAAAAATGCACGCGTCCGAGCAATGCCAAGCAAGGGTCCCCACCGCTTCCCCTACGGGGTGCAATTTTTTGCTTCGTCCCGGAAATTCCTTGACTGGTGGCCCCCGCAAGCCTGAGAAGGTGCCCCCGCATAAAAGCCGAGATCGGGGAGAGAAACCGCCGGGAGGAAGCAAACACAAACTTCGAGTAGGGGGTCGACTACAGAGTTGATGTCCCACAACATACTTTTCCCGTCAGACCTGCAAACTAGCTCTGCAGAAGGTTCGTAGATCCACAAACATTGCATTTTTCGTGGATTCGACACAAGTCTCAATTTGGGGAAAATCAATTCTGTAGCCGATCTCCTACTAGGAAAATGGCCATCGCTTTGACGCCCATTCCACGTGTACTGTTCGATGCCGCGCGCGTTTTCTGTCCGCAACATGATCCAAGATCCTCCTCGATGGCCCTGGCCGAGAATGTCGTGCCTGTCTTTCTTTTGCCTTTTGTTCGCAAGATGATCCACTAGCCTCCCCGACGGTCCTGGCCGAGAGCAGGGGCACACGCCCGAGCGATGCCGCGCAAGTCGTCGGAGAGTTGGGAGCAGCGTTGGCGTGTGGTTTTGGCATCCTCCGGCCTCCGGAAGCAATCCACGAAAACTTCTGGCCGTCCCCACGGCGCCCGGCAGCGCGCCCCGTCGCGCGCAAAGCCGACACGACGCACCTCCCGCACGTGGCGCAGTGGGGCGCTGTTGGTCGCTCCCGGGCGCCGTTCGAGCGCTGCCGGTCGCTACTTAGTCGCTGTTGGGCGCCACTGGGCCCCGTTGCGAGCTGTTGGACGCTGCTCGCCGACGACGAGTGGGATCCCCCGCGATCCGCGACCCTCGCGATCCGCGATCCCCCGCGATCCACGTGGAGGAGGAGGAGGAGGAGGAGGAGGAGAAGGAGGAGGAGGAGGAGGAGGAGGACGGGGAGGAGGTTGAGGAGGGGGAGGGGGAGGAGGAGGAGGAGGAGGAGGGGGAGGAGGGGGAGAGGAGGAGGAGGAGGAGGAGGAGGAGGAGGAGGAGGAGGAGGAGGAGGAGGAGGAGGAGGAGGAGGACGAGGAGGAGGAGGAAGAGGAGGAATCCCCTCGGGACGCGGCGGGGCCGCGCGCGGGGCCGCGGCGCCCCGGCCGTGCGGGGCACAACTCCGCGCGGCCCCCGCGGGGCGCTGCGCCCGCGGCCGCGTCAGGCCCGCTGCGCCGAGCGGCGCACGCAGGCGCCGATCCGCTGCATCGCCTTCCGGCGGCGCGCACGCGTGCTGCAGCGGATTTTGCGCGTGGATTTCTGCCATGGCGAAACCTGGAACGGCGAGTGAAAAAAACAGCGGGAATCTCGCGCGGATGTTTTGTGTTTGGCCTCCTTCCTGGCCGAGAGGATCCGCACGAAACTCGCTTCGAAATCCGGAACGAGATTCTCCAGGACACTCCGGGCCCAACCCATCGTTTTCCAGACGAAATCCGCTCTGCGATGTTGGCGCCATGACAGGGGGGGGGGCTGGAGCACCGTGTGTGACCTGCTCTAATACAGCAGCGTACCAGGGCTCGACCCAAACGGTGTCTTGGCGATTGCGTGCGCCGTTTTTTCGGTTCGACGTCGATTTGCAGCGACGGCGGAACGAAGACAAACCTAGAGAATCCCGAAACAGCACTATAGAGCGAAAAAAACACTGCTTAGGTCGAGCCCGAGAACGTACCGTAGTCGGATATATACCCTTCCTCCGACATTGCACTGCACCGAGCGCGACGGCCGCGCTGGCTATTGGTGCATCCACCCAGAACGTGCCTATGTACGCCACGGCACCCAAGTGCCCGTAAACGCTTGCACGCCCGGGGTACTGGTCTTCCAGATGCAGGCAGAGTTTGCCCTCCACGGGCGGGGGGGTACCCTGTGTTCTGGACCTCCTGGCGGGCTTCCTGCAGTCCCTGGTCTCCGACGTAGCGACAGACTTGCAACGCGGGGGCCAATCACGACCAAAGCCCCGGACCCCGCCTCTCTGAGCCGTTTCTTGACCAGCATCGATCCCGGGGCACGAAACCTGGCGAAGACGCACAGCGCGACCAATATCACAACGCCGGGATCTTAGGGCACCCGAGCAGCACCTCTGAATGAGGGGCAGACAGGGGGGGGATGGGCATAGGGGAGGGCACATCGACCCGGAATCGGCGATACATCGCCGAGAGATCGGCGGTAGGCTCCGGATGAAGAATCCGCACCTTCCTGGGCGGGTCAGGGCTATCGGGCCCCTATCGGCGGTGCATGGGCGAGTCGAGGTCGATGCATCCCCCCCTATGCCTATCCCCCACCCCTCCCCCTGACGTTGCCCTGGACTGAGGCAGCTCGATCTTTCTCCTCCGAGCCAGGCACCCGCCCTTGGCCGCCCGGCCCAGGGCCAGGCCCCGAGCGAGGCGAGGCGAACGCGCGGCACCGCTTGGGGGTGGGGCGAGGCCCGCGCGGGCCTGCGCGGATGAGCCAGCGCCCGCAGCTCGTGCCTAGAGGAGCGCATGCCACGCACAGCAGCTGCTCGTAGATGGCCCGGGTCCGCCGCGGGAGGTCTACGGCATCTTGCGTCGAGGCGACCAGGAGGTGTTGTCTCGGGCGTCTGCGAGCAGGCGCTCTGCAGTTGGTGGAAGGCGCCCGCAGCTCGTGTTGCCATCCGGGTGGCCCACGGCGTGCTGAACGATTGGGTTGCCTCGCTCGCGCGCTCGTGCCGCGGGCTGCGACGGCCGAGGGGCGTGTCCACTGGCGAATCAATGATACATCGTCTGCGTGTCGCACTCTTTGGCGCCACCCGGAGAAGTCACTCACTGCATCTTGAAGTCGGGAACTGTCACTGGCCACTCTGATTGCATCGGGCAACAGACTTCGTAGTTACCAACTCCTTCCTGGGTGCCCCCACTCGCTGGACGTACCTGCATGTGTCAGGGCGGGGGGGGGGAAGCACGGCTTGCCGCAACTGCAAGCAAGCATCACGCGCTGATGGCAGCCGCGATCTGGAACTGGCATTGTCGGGAAAGCTCTTCCCGTGGCCATCCGTGCCCACAGTCGACGGAGAGGGCAGCCGTCTGGGATGGCACGGGGCTTCTCGGGAGGGACCTGTCCCTCCCCAGGCTTCTGGGACGGCCCTCTCCAACGGCAGGACAGGCTGTCGCCGTCTCCCCCGTGCCCCCTGAAGATCGTCAGCCCCTAGGCCTCTCCCAGAGCGCACCCTTCTCAGCTCCCCAGACATCCGATGTTTGTTTCTTGTATTCCATGATCCTTTTCCCAGGGCCGGATTTGCTCGTGAGATGCTGTACCCTCGCAGCGTTTCGCCTGAGTGGGATCTAACAAAAGGGGCAACACGGGACACCTGAAGGGTCCCACCAGGAGAGCGATGAGCCCGAGAACCCCAGGTGCGACAGCCTTGTCGCCTTAGATTTCCTCACAATTTATTCAGGGTTCGTCTTCTCCCTAGAATGCTGGCTACATTGTTGTTCAGCACGGCCATGGGCCCTGGTAAATGACGTACTCAGGTGCACATGGCCGTGCTCTCACTCCTGTCGCCTGTATTGCTTCCGGACGTTGGATATACCAAGGCCGCGCAGGCCCCCCCCGCAAGAGGCCCGGAGAGAAGGCGCACCGCCGCGGGCAGGCAGCCTCGCCGGCGGCGGGCGCTGCCCGCAGGAGGGCGAGGAGCGGGGAGGGGACAGGGAGGGCGGAGCCGGCCGTGGCCGGCGCTGGCCCCCGAGACGTGCCGACCACGGCCTCTCGGCGCCACTCACGGCAGCTCTCTCCAGCAAGGTGGCACCATGCTGAGCTCCGTCTCTGGCAGGCTCGCTGCGTACGCCGCTTCGCGCACGAAGGGCGGCAGGGGCGGGATGGGCCGCGGCGCTGCCCAGGCTCCGCAGCCGTGTGCCTCAGAGGCCCCACCAGAGGGCCGTGCTGGCAGCACACTGCGAGCTGCACCCTGGCGCGGCGTCTGGGACGAGAGTCCTTGGGAGCTCGGCCTCATTCCGAGCCGCGCGAACACGCTACGAAATCCGCACGTCAGGAACTGCTGCCGAGCGAGTCGCGGCGGCGGCCCCGGCGACGCTCCAATTCTGCCTCGCATGGCGAATGCTCCTCGCGTCGCTCCGCTCCGCTCCGCGGGGCGGGAGGCTCGGGAGAAGCTCGGGACGTGGACGCTTCGGGGCCGGGACGTGGACAGCGTGTCGCGCCGAAGCGTGGCGGACCAGAGCTGGCCGCGCGACGCGCGAAGCCAACATTCCTTGCCGTTGATCGTGTTGCCCTTCCTGTCAGGGCCTGCGTCAGTGCATGGCAGGCTGCGCATGCCGGCCAGACGGCAGGAGAGAGGAGGGAGGGAGGGAGGAGCAGGCAGACGACGACGGGCGCGCCGGCAAGATGCCAGGCCAGCGCCAGGGCTTGGCATGAAGGAAGCTGGTCCTGGGCCCCAAGGGCCTCCTCCCCCCGGATCCAGCTCTTCGTCCTGGGTCGCTTCTTGACGGTCCCGCAGCGGTGACACGTTTGCTTCATTGCAAAGGACGGGCCCAGGCATCCCCCCACGCAGTAAGGGCGGTGCTTCGTCCAGGACCCCTTTTGGTGGTCCCAGGGCTACATAAAAAAGGCTCCAGACGCCCAAACCAGGGACGACAGGATTGATTACCCCAGCCAAGCACCCTAATAGCAGCAAGGGTGAAGAGGCGGAAGAATAGGAGGTCGGCTGGTGATAACGTGCATCAGCAGGCATTCCTAGAGAGTCCTAGGGAGATGCAGCAAAGACAGGGGTGAGAGAACGACCCTGCGCATCTCACTACTTTTAACAGATTTCGTGGCTGGCCAGACCAAGAATGCAGCTGGCATTGAAGCGAGACCGCGATTCCTGAATATGCTGTGGAGGCACATCCAGCGAAACGGCTGCCAGACCGGGCGTCTTCGGGTTCCGCCCACCCTGTGGGGCTGCTGTGGTCTTCTCTACCACTATCCGAATTCCAGCGAAACGCTACGGAATGCAATGTTTGCCTAGCGTGTCGCCAGGGCTAGCCTGGCGGCACGCTATGCCTTGCAAGCGGATGGCGTGCCGCTCCGCCCAGCGGGGCTGGACGGGAGGCTGGGCAGAACTCGGACGTTGACGCGCGGTGACCAGGACGTGGCTAGCCTGCCGCTTCGAAGCGTGGCGGGACAGAACCAGCGGCGCGACGCGCGAACCGAAAGTTCCAGACCGCAGTCGGGAAACGTCCCCAGTCATGCGACGTCATGATTTTTTCAATAAGGAGGTCCGTGGAAACCCTTTCCCCGGGACTGGTTTTCCATCGTGCATCGTTTTTTGACGGTCCCGAGGCCCAGCGAAGGCCCCCCGAGGCCGAAATTGGCCAAACACCTCCCACCCTGATTTTTTTTTACGACGCGATCATGTCTGGGTCGAGTCGTCGGAGATCTGGGGAAACCCTGGCCCAGGCCCTGGGGTCGAGCCCCCCATCGCGCGCCGCTACCCGCCTCCGCCTCGCCCTCCGAGTCGCTGTCCTCCACGAGGGCGCGCGCAGCGAGGGCCAGGCCCCGCAACACCTCGAAGGACAGCGGCTTGGCGGCGGCGCCTCCGCGGGGGCGGGCGGGCGGGCGCGCGGCGCCTCCTCCTCCTCCTCCTCCTCCTCCTCCTCCTCCTCCTCCTCCTCTTCCTCCTCCTCCTCCTGCTCCTCCTGCTCCTCCTGCTCCTGCTCCTGCTCCTGCTCCTGCTCCTGCTCCTGCTCCTGCTCCTGCTCCTCCTCCCTCCTCCTCCTCCTCCACCTCCTCCTCCTCCCTGTCCTCCTCCCCCCCCTCCTCCTCCTCCTCCTCCTCCTTCTTCTCCTCCTCTTCCTCCTCCTCCTCCTGCTCCCCGCTCCTTCTCATGCTCCCAGCGTTCCCACACTCCTTCCCCTTCTTTCTCCTCCACCTGCGTGGTCCTTTGCCCCCTAGTTGCCTCCACTTCCTCATCCCTCCATCTGCAGCGTTCCTCCTCCCCAGCATTGCCCTCATCCTGCTTCTTCCCTTCCTCCTCTTGCTCCTCCTCTCCATATTCCTCCCCGTCCTCCTCCTCCTCCTCCCCTCCTCCTCCTCCTCCTCCTCCTCCTCCTCCTCCTCCTCCTCCTCCTCCTCCTCCCCCATTGGTCCCCTCTCCCCGCCCTCCTTCCCCCCCCCCCTCCTCACCGTCCTCATCCTCTTCGCACCACTCCCCCTGCCCCCCCCCCTACCCCCACCCTCCCCCGCTCCTCCCCCGCTCCTCCTCCCCCGCTCCTCCTCCGCCTCCTCCTCCTCCTCCTCCTCCTCCTCCTCAACTTCCTCCTGATCATCCTTCTCCTTCCCCTCCTCCCCTTCCGTCCCCCTCTTCCGCCCACTTCCCCGCCAGGGAGCGCGCGAGAGGGGGGGGCGACGACGGGGCGGCCGAAACGGCACGGGACAGGCAGGCCTGGTTTCCGTGTGGAGCCCGCGGGGACATCCCCGACGCCGCTGCTGGCCTGGACTGGCATTGTCTGGGTAGTCGAAGCCAATCTGGCGCCAATCTGGCAGGCCCAATCTGGCAAACAGGGGCAATCTGGCGAGGGAGCCAGCGCGAATCCGGTCTGGCGAATAACCCAAATCATCCAGTTTGGCCAGGCCAGATTGGCCCTTGGGGCCCAATCCAATCTGACAGTCTGGCCTTCGACTACCCAGATTGTATCCTAAGCGGGCTGAAAGAGGACGAGTCACGAAACCTCAGCGGAGGCGAGGCGGAGGTCGTGGATACCGACGCCGCCCTACTGGCACAACGACCGCACGAGCACCGAGCGCCTGGGCAGCGCACGGGTGCGGGCCTCCAGGCGCTGGACGGCTACCATCTGAGAAAGGCTGACGCGTGTGCGTTGCGTTGCGCATTAAAACGTGTGCAAGCCACTCTTGAGCGCAAGCATATAGGCCTTAAAGTGCTATCCTGACGACCTAGCCGTTCTAGTTATGAGGACCGTATCCCAAAACACACGCACACACTCACACACACGCACACACACACACACTGGCCACTCAGGCGGTAGAAATCCCACAAGTCGAGGAGGAGGAGGAGGACCATTATAGACCTAAAAACCCATTGACGATCTTGCAAACCAAAATATTTCAAATATCATCTTCACACGCCCCGCCTCTACGAGGGTTCACCGTCATTGAGGGAAGTGCCCCAAAGGAAGGTAACCGTTTGAAGCTCCAGAACTGTGACAGAACACCGTTCCTGGGACTACAACGCCGCGAATCACCGCTACTGTTGCGTCTCTACGGCCCCGAATCGCGGCAGAACCCCGCTCCTGGAATTCCATCAAAGCGAATCAACGTGACCGTTGCGCCCTGACATTCCGACACCGTGTCAACGCACCGTTTCTGGGACGTTAACAATGAGAATCCTTGAGGCTGTTGCTCGGGGATGGACAGAACCCCCTTTAGCAAACCGTGATTTAGTGAAAACGACCTGAGGCCCAAACCTGGCGGGCGCAAGCCTGGAAAATGACGGCCACGGCGCCCTCTCGAGAACCGAAAACGGACAATTCACTAATCGACGTGTCACTGTTGGGGGTTCTGTCCACCCCCGATTCTGGGACGTTGACAATGAGAATCCTTGAGGCCGTTGCAGGCCCCAAGACGAATGCGCGCGGCGCTGACGCGAGAGCCACACGATGGAAACGAGCCGCCCTGCATCCGTGGGAATGCGGCAGGCTTTCAAGACGAGCGCGCGCGGCGCGACAGCGGAGGATCGAGTGGACCTTCGGGCGGTGCCCAGGAGCAGGCTCGCGCGAAAGAGGAGCACGTGACGGGCCTGTTTCCCACCACCACTACTCCAGATTTCGTCATAAAAGGGAGGGGGTCTCAGCCCTCCCAGGCGAGAAGCTTTAGACCCCCCCCCCCTGGGAGAACCCTCCAAAACATCGTCCCCAGACCCCCCCAGGCCCTCCAAGATAGCTTGGAAAAGACCCCCCCCCCCGAAATGAGACCCCCCTCCCTTTACTAGGAAATCTGGAGTACCCTAAGTTGGAGGGGGGAAGGAGGTGGAGGAGGAGGACGAGGAGGAAGACGAGGAGGCAGAGGAGGAGGAGGAGGATCCACACCTCGAACACGGACCGCCCTCCGCCCGTGGGGCTCTCTTGCCGCTTGTCGGACCGCCCGAGCTCGGCGCGTGGGCGGAAACCACACTCTGAACACCGGCCCGCCCTCCGACAGAGAAGCTCCGGCAGCCGCTTCCAGCTCCCCTGCGCGGCGCGGAGGCGAGAATCACAGGCCGAGGACCATCCGCCCTCGTTCCGTCAACCTGCTGCATCTGTTCAGCTTCGGGATCGCGACTGGTGAGGAAGCCCCGAGCGCAACGCCCGGCCCGCCCTCCGGACCGGCCTCGGGGTGCGCCAGAGGGGGGGGGGATGTTTCACAGGGGAGAGGCATGGAGGCGGAGGAGGATGGAGAAGGACGAGGAGAAGGCGGGACGGGCCGCGACGTTCGACGTGGCCTCCGGAGTTCGGTCGCATCGCCCCCTCCTCCCCCCCCTTTTTTGCTCACCCGATGCCCACTTCGTCGTCGTACTCCTCCCTCCTCCCTCCTGGCCCTCCTCTTCCCTCAATCCTCCTCCTCCTCTTGCTCCTGCGCCTCATTGCTCCGACAAGGCGATAAACAAACAGCAGAACACGGCTCCTTCCATCCCTCCTGCTGGCGGGGGGCGTGTTGAACACGGCCAGATGTCAGATGCGGATGCAGTGGTGGTCTGAGTGCGATGGCTGTGCAGAGTTTGTGTCAACACTTGAGTTCAAGACTGGAAAGTGCGTCCGATTGTTGTGAAACGGCTGTTGTAGGAAAGGCATAGACTGCCCCCCTCCCCAAGCGCCCCCCGGTCCCCCCATTGTGCAAAGCTGAACTCGCGGCCCGTGGGCCGAGTCGCTTCCGCCCAACGTTGAACTTCCCAGGGGGAGGGGGGGAAGGTACCGCGTGACTACTACAATGACGTCGTGTGTGCGGACGTGGTCGGTTGATGCAGAGTGCAAGTTCACGTTGGAGAACGGTTGTTGTGAAGCGAGAGGTGCAACGTGCGAATGCGATTCCGAATCGAATGATGTGCTTTGCGCGGCACGGTCGTTGTTATCGCACACGCCGGTAATTCCTTTTTCTCCGCGACCACTCCTCCTCCTGATTAGCTTCTGCTTCTACACTTTCTTCTTTTCCTCCTGCTCCACCTCCTCCGCCTTTTTCCGCTCAGGGGTTCTTGGGGGGGTCTCGGAAGCCTTCGGTCCCTGGGCAAATCGCCCAACACGTCAAACAGTCCTGATCATCCTCCAACTCGGAGGAGGAGGAGGAGGAGGAGGAGGAGGAGGAGGGGGAGGAGGAAGGCCACAGGCCCAAGGAGGAGGCAGGAGGAAGAGGAGGAGGAGGAGGAGGAGGAGGAGGAGGAGGAGGAGGAGGAGTCATGCCTCCCAGGGTTGCCCATCTAATGCAGGACAGCTCAGCTGCCCCGAAGAGTGAAAGAAGCGACGCGACGGAGCAGGAAGGGGTCGAGCGTTCCAGGGAGACAAACCCGCAGCCTCCCTCCTCCTCTTCTACCCCCTCTAGGACGAAGCCAGGACGAGGCTAAACTCGGGCGAGAATCAATCAAAAACTCTGGGAAAGGAAGGGGAGGAGGCAGCCAAGAAAGAGATCCTTGGCCAGACCCTGGCCCTCGACAGGGCAGTCAGGCCCTGGCTCCAAGCAAGGAGGGACAGAACAGAGAATCTCTCGAGACGACCTCCTCCCAGGGAGGCAAGCCCGCAGTCCCCCTTCCTTGGCAAGCTGCCAAGCGGAAGAGCACCTGTAGCAACAGCAAGGCCTGCTCAAAAAAAGCGCGCTAGACAGACGCCTCGAGCTCTGTCTCGAACACGGGCGAGGCAAGCAGGCAGCGAGGGGGCTAGTACAAGCGCCCGCGATCCACAAAGCCACCAAGGATCGCAGGCCAGTGACAGACAGCTCGATTAGCACGCTATCGACCCAGTACGAAACCCGAATCGTGAATGAGAAGATGCCACATCTTTCTGCTCCTCCTCCTCACCCTCCTCCAACAGACCCTGAGACCCCAAAGCACGAACAAAAAGGCACCATCATCAAAACTCACGACCAACGCCCTGGATTCCATCTTCCTGTAGCACTCCTCAGGCCAGACCAGCATTGATCCGTGGGGGCTCTCGGACGCGCAACCGGGGGAAACCGCGAAATCTGAACATAAATGCATCGCCTGGATCTCCTGGGACGGCGACAGCCCTCGACCTGCAGCTTCAGCACCTTCCGCGTGGAAGGTGCCGCCGCTGCGGCCTTGACGGTGGCCGCCGCTGCGGCCGCGGCGGCGGCCGCGGCAGCGCGGCAGCGCGGCACCTGCCGCATGGAAGGTGCGAAAGGTGCATGTCGAGAGACTCGCCATCGCTCGGACGTCCATACCCCGTGCCTTTGTCGGCGTCTTGCGTGTACTATCTCGCAGGACGACCCACAAGGCTCCTCGATGGTCCTCGCCGGGGGAAAACGCACACGTCTGAGCGATGCCACGGTGGAGCCACTCGGTTTTCAAATGACACCTTGGGCCACCGACGGCTGCTCGGGACGACCCGGGCCCCCTCTGGAGCGCGCCCGGCGAGGCGCAGCTGTCTGGCAAAACGCGCCACGACGCGAGGGGGCCTCCAAGAGAAGCCACGACGACGCCCCGAAGCGCTCGCGGACCTCAGGGCCCCCGAGCTGACCGAGGGGGCGGAGCATCATGTGAAGATGGGTCCCAAAACATGATCGCGTCGTATACAATTCAGGACGGGAGATTTTTTTTAATTTTTTTGCGAATTTCGCCCTAAGGGGGCCCTCGCGGGACCTCGGGACCGTAAAGAAACGACGCAGGATGAAAAACGGGTCCTGGGGAAAGGGTCGGGACTTCCACGGACCCCATATTGAACAAATCAGGACGTCGCATGTCTGGGTGTGAAGCCCGCTTGTGGCAAGAGAGTTGCACACACAATTTAGCAAAGGCGGGAGAGACGGGCTTGCAGCGACGCTCCCCTCCCTCCGCAGCCACTGGCCTCGGAGGCCCCGCAGAAGGCCGCGCTAGCAGCACACTGCGCTCTGTATGCCAGCGTTGAGCCTAGGAGAATAGCCAATGTCTGGGCGGAGAGAGGGAGGGGCCTGCCCGGGAGGTCCCAGGCGGCGCCGTCTCGCCAACCGCGGCCGCGCCGCCTCGGCGAGACCGCGGGCGGCGCGGGGGGCACGGTGTGGCCGCGGGGCCAGAAGCCGCGCCGGCGCGGTCGGTCGCGGTCGGCCATCGTCATCGTCATCGCCATCGCCATCGTCGTCGTCATGTCGTCACGCAGGGACGCACGACGGCGTCGTCGTCGTCGCCGTCGTCGCGGCTTCGTCGCGGCTTCGTCGCCGTCGTCGTCACAGGCCGAACGCGGCGCGGCCCGAAAGGCTCGTGCGTTGGGCCCGTGGGCAGACAGGTGGGCAGGAAGACAGGCAGGCGGAGGCCAGATGAGGTATGACGAAGTAGGGGGCAGGCCGAGGGGGAGGAGGAGGAGGAGGAGGAGGAGGAGGAGGAGGAGGAGGAGGAGGAGGAGGAGGAGGAGGGAGGAGGAGGAGGAGGACCAGGAGGATGGGGGAGGAGGTTGGGAGGATGGGGAGTGGGAGTGGGAGGTAGGATTAATGAAGATGAGGAGGAGGAGGAAGAGGAGGAGGAGGAGGAGGAGGAGGAGAGGGAGAAGGAAGAGGAGGAAAGGGGAGGAGAAGGCACATTTGTTGTTGATGATGATGGTGGTGGTAGTGATGACGATGAAGCGGAGTAGGAGGAGGAGGTGGTGAAGGTAGGAGGAGGCAGGAGGAGAAAGAGGGAGGATAATAAGGGGAGGGTGGATCACGAGGGGGGGAGGAGGTAGGTGGGTCGATGAGAAGGCCAAAAAAGGAACTATGAGGGGAGGACGACGGGGAGAATGCGGGGGAGAAGAAGGTGAAGGAAATGAGAGGAGGGGGAGGTGGAACGTGCCCTGAGGAATCAATTGAGAGGGGGGAGGGGCGAACGTCGCTGCATGAGGTGACGTCCAAGACACTACGCCAGGCGATCGCGTACTATCCTGAGACAGCGCAGCACATGATCGGAGCCAGAGCCAGTCTGGTGGCGAAGCACAGCGTATAGTTGATGCACATCTACCATTCGATGTATAGCAATCTCGATCGAAAACTCTGGGCTGCCCGATGGGTCCCCTGTCGCACCAGCTAAGGCTAACCGGTGCAGGACCGATTCATGGACGCGAAACCGCGGCGTGCAGGTAGCCCACCAGGCACACCTGCACGTGCGGTAATGATGGAACTCCTTGTTAGCAGCTGGATCGTCCTCAGGGCAACAAAAAAAACATCTGGCCGCTTGGTTCGGGTTGACATACTTTCGGACCACTGCGGGTCAGCCTCCTGCTGGAAAATTGCAAACTGCCTATCGGACATCAGGGGGCCTTTTGCAGCGCTGCGCGGAGGGTGCGCCAGCGCAGGCGAAGGGGCGCGAGAAGCGGCGAGGGGGCGCCCCGCGCTTGCAGGCGGCGGCAGAGGGTGGCCCAAAAAGCCTCAGGACGAATGGCGTTCGCCATCGTCTCGGTGTAGATCAGCTGGACAGCCGGACGCTTAGGGAGTCGGAGCGCTGGCGGCCGCTGCTGTGCCGTTGAACGACCAGGCTGCTCACGTACTCGCGGATGGCTGCGCGCGCGGCCACGGCGGCTGCCTGCGCCCCTTTCTGCGTCAGCTTCTTCTGTCGCGGCCTTGCCTCCAGCGCCGCGTTGTTCAGGCCGCCCTCAAAACGCTCCACGATAGACGTGCGGATCTGCCAGGACAGCGAAAACAGGCGGCAGTCCGCGAGCTGCGCGAGCGAGAAGGGCGCACTCTCGACTTGGCCGTCCGCCGCGCGCGAGAAGCTCGACGCCCGCCCACGCCATAGAAGCAGCGACTCTTTCCACGGCCACATGGTCGCGTGCACTGGTCGATAGAGGGCCGCAGCAACGCTTGCCGTCGGATGGAGAATCGGCCTCGGCGAAGGTCTTCGGCGGCAGCCTGGAGGCGACGTGGAGCGCATCTAGCTCCGCATCCTGGATCGCAGGGACCAGCGCGAAGAATTTCACGGCGCGCGAAACCACCGGAAGAGTGACCCCACTACAAAAGCGCACTGAGCCGTCTGCGGAGGCGCCCGCTAAGCAAATGCCCCGCACGCGTTTCACGCACTTCGCGCCGGCGCTCGCCCAGATCTACACGAATGTGGCACCAGGGCCAAGAAGGATCCCCATGCACTTGGCCGAGTCTTGAACGAGCACCTGCCACCGCGACGGCGCGTGCCAGGAGAGCATCTTCAACGTCTCCTGCTAGAGACGTCGCCAGAGAGGGCGGCTCGCGGCGGCGCAACAAATGTTTCCCGCTGGCGAAGCGCCACGCGGCCAAGCGCGTGCACGTCCTCGAATACCTCCCCGACGCCCGCGAGGTGCTCGATAGATCGTAGCGCAATGCCGACGTCGTCCGCGCAGCCGCCAACCGCCCCTCGGGAGCTCTGCAAAGGTGCGGCCGCTCGGGCGGGCTCGAGAAAGGAGGGCACCCCCGCGGCGAAAGCCAGCTTCCCCAGGTACGGGTTGAAGAAGATCGCCCACGCAGTCCTCTGCGACTCTGGCGATTGCCCCCCAAATCTGGAAAAAGTGGCCACGGAGCTTAACCCAGCACTGCGGGTACTCCTTGAGGGCGTTGATCAGAAAAAAACAGATTCTACGTGTCGAAGGGCCGCCCTGAGCCATTGTCGGTTTACCGACGGGAAGGCCGAGAAACTGTCGATCGCGATGAGGCGCGCTGAAGGGCCGCTGCAGCCGAGAACGCTCTCGCCATGATGTCCAGACCCCAGATGTTGCTCATGAATTGCGACGGCGTATGGAGCCTTGCTGAACGCGATTGCCCTTGGCCTCCGCAATCGCTGCAAGCGCGCGTTCGCCAGCAGCCCGACGAGCCCCCGGTCGCAGTTGAGCAGGACCAGCGGGCGCGTCTGGTCAGGCTTGTGGATGATTTCAGCGTGGGCGCACTCCTGAGTCTCCTTCGGGGCGAAGGCAATCAGCGCGCGATTGAAGGTCCGAGGCGCGGGCAACCCATCCCTTCAGGTCTCTTGCGCGACCCTGCGCAGGAAGACCATCGCTTTCGGCCGCCGCTGCCCCGGCCGTCTAGGGGAGGCCGTCAGGGCCGGACGCAGACGGCTGCGCAGCCCGCGCCCCGCGCAGCAGGTCAGCCTCGTCGAGGGAGAGGTCAGTGAACGGAACCTGCGTGGGCTGCCAGGTAGCGATGAGGTCCTCTACCATCCTCAGATCGACTTCCTGGCGAGGGAAGATCTCCCGCCAATGGGCCGTCGTTGCGTGCCTCGTCGCACCAGCGTCCCGAGCAACCTGTCCAGAGTCGGTGACGGTGTCGGCTCGCGGAGGGCGACGGGGAAGGCAGCACCACTGTCCGTTCCGCCGCTTCCTGGAGGACGCGCTCGATCGGCCGAGGAGGGACCTGCCTCGCTGCGCGTGCCAACGCCCCGCGTTGAAGCTCGCGAGGGGGTCCTGGAAGTGTCTTCAGGAAGGGGAAGACCTCCGCGCCCGCGCAGGCTGTGAAACTCTGCTCGGCCGCGAAGGCTGCGGGAACCCCATCGTCGAAGCGCGCGGCCTGCGCGGCCTCTGCGCTGTCCTGCTCGGCGCCCTCCTTGGCGCCCTCGTCCTCCACGTCCTCCGACTCGCCCTCCAAGTCCTCGGCCTGCATCCCCAGGCCCCCCGCCCTCATCGTTGCCCCCCTCCTTCGGTACCTCGTCCTTCGGCTCCGCGCGCCTTGTCCCGGCCGCGCGGCCGGCGCGCGGTCGCGGGCCCCTCGTTGATGGGATCGGCAGGCTGGTTGGTGCAGGGGTCGGTGAGTTGGTCGATGCAGTCAGTGTTCGATGTGCTTGGCGCTGGCGCGGATTCGAAAGTACTGTCGCCATATCGCCCTTGCAGCTGACCTGAGTGTAAGGGCATCGAGCTCCGCCCGAGTCCTGGAGTCGAGGAGCTCCGAGGTGGCGAGCGTCTGGTTGCGGGCCGGCCGAACGGCTTCTCGCGCGATGCATTTGACCTTCAAGATCGCCTCGACGGCGTCCGTCGCGAGCAGTTCGGTCTCGCGCGGGCCCAGCTGCTGCCGGAAGTTGTCTCGGTAAAGCTGGTGGCCGAAGATGAATGCAGGTATCGGACGTTCACCCGGGAGCGGCGGCGAACGGCATCGCGTCGCCAGGCCGACCAGCGATTGATCGCCTAGCCCGCCGAAGGCCAGCGTGGCGCGGTCGCTATCCACCACGAATTAAACGCGCATGTTTGCGGGACCATACCTCGGGGCGCTCAGGAAGCACTTGTCCAGAGCGGCTGCAGCCTTCGAGTGCTTGTATCTCGCTGGGTGGGGGCCCTTGATTTCCACCGCGTCGTCAAAAGGTTGATGCCAGAACGCCCGTGCTCGGTGGTGACGGACCTGCGAACGCATTTCCTGCAGGGTTGAAGTACAAGCGTCGGTCCTGCACTGCACTTCTGACGTTGCCCAACGCGGAAAAGGCGGAGGAGGAGGAGGAGGAGGAGGAGGAGGAGGAGAAGTGGGAGGAGAGGCATGAAGAGGCTTCGCAGGGGGTTCGGGTGGCCTGATCCTCTCCACCGTGCGAGTGCCCACTGAGACGACGAAACGGAGCAAGCACCGCCCCGCAGGCCTGACCAGGGCGTCAAGGCCCGCGCAGGCTCGCCTTTCTCGTACAGTCGGCCCCCAGCGGTGTAGCTGACTGTGTCGGCCCACGCCTCGCTTCTCGCAGTGTCAACGCCTGCTGCCACTGCATGCCCTTCTCGCCTTGACAGCGATTGCTTCCACTGCCCCTGCTTGCGCACGAGCTGACTCCATCTGTGTTGCTGATGGTGTTTGGCTCCTGTACCGTGCCTGCGCCCCCGCGATGACAGCGGTTGCTGCCACTGCTCGTCCTTTTTCGCACTGGCAACAGCGCTTGCCGCTGCCTCCTTTCTCGCACGATCTGATCTCAGCGTTGTAGCTGGCGATGCTGCTGTCCTTGAGGCTTGGATCCCTGCACTGTTGCAGCGGCCCGGCGTGGGCGGTCGCTACTGCTCGCCAGGGGGGTGGGGGGGGGGAAGGATAGGGCGACGAGGGGGCGGGGGAGAGCACTCACCCTGGCGGCCTCGCCAGCACCTGATCGCAGCACTGTAGCTGATGACGCTGGACGCCGCGGTTCTTGACGACGGCCCTCGAGCGCGAGGCCATTCCGAAAGCGGCGCTCGAAGCACCCGCGCTTGGCGCTCGGACGCGAAATGGCTCTGCAGGAGGAAGGAGAGGTAGGAGGAGGATGGGAGGAAGGGAGGGGGGAATAGGAAAGCGAAGGAGAAGCAGGAAGATGACGCGAGATTCAGGAAGGGGAGGAGTATCGAGAATCGAAGATCGTGGACGTGTCTGGGGCTCTTTTCGGCTCCCTGGGGGACATCGTACCCACAACTTGAGTCGCCACGACAAAAACGCGCGCCAAGACAACTGTAACGAGGAGGAGAAGATGACCCGAAACCCCAGGCGTCGAGACAGAAGTCACAATACTCATGTTGGCAATTTCGGCGCCCGAGGGGCGTCATCGGACCCAGGCCCATCAGCTTGAGGAACCCACGACCCATCAACTTGGGTTAACTTATATTATGGCGTGGCTTCTGCACGCATGCTGTACTACACCCTTTCCCCATCTTGTCTGTGGTATGCCACGCTATGTTCTTATTTGGTTTACGCATCAATGCTTACATGGCCATCGTTTCTCCCAATCCTCCCACTCCTCCTCCACCGCCTCATCGGACCGAACGGATGGCGACACCGATCCGAACCGAACCGGAAACACTTCAGAAACGGACCTGACCGAACCGATCCAGAACTTTCATGCTCTCCTGCTCCTCGTCATCACTCCTCTTCTTCTTTCGTCCTGCCCCCTCCTCTGCCTCCCACCTCCCTTCTCCTGTACTCATACACTCCTCACCCTCCTCCTCCTCCTCCTCCTCGTCCTCTGCTCTCTGCTCCTACTGCTCCCTATTCAAGCTTCCCCCCTCCTTCTCCCCCATCCTCCCACTTCTCCAGCCTGCTCACCCTCTCCTGCTCAATCCTCCCTGCTCGCTCCTGCTCAGCCCCTCTGCCACCGCACCCCTCCTGCTCCTCCGCTATCCTTCGTCTTCTCAGGAGGTGGCGACGCGGCGCATCGCTCCAACAAGACCCCCGCTCCCGCCAGGCGGCTGCCGCACAGTGTCCGCACGAGTGAAGAGACGTGCCAAATGCAGGAGTGCCAGACCCATGCTCCAAAAGCACGTGCCAGGTGCACACAAGCAATGGACGCATACCGTAGACACATATGATAAGGAAGCTTGCTGCAAGATGCCCTGGGCCACGTTGTCAGTAGATCTGTGCGGGCCCCAAGGTGCCCCAAAGCTTCTGTGTCCCTGGAGCCATCGAGGGATCACATATCTCCGTGGGGCACCTGCTGACAAGCCGGTGTGTTCATGATGTGCCCGATGTATTTGACACTAACCCCCTCCGCGCGCGATGTTCTACGTTTGAAGAACCCGCTGGCCGCATGTTTAACCCGATCGGACAAGAACGAGTCTCGTCGAGTTTGTCTGTCCATTGGGCTCGTAGGGGGGGACAAGGAGAGAAGGATGATGACGTCGACAAGGCGACGTATGTCGAGGATGGCAGCGTGGATGACGGGGAGGGCAGCGAGGGGGGCAGAGGGATAACGAGTGGGAAGTCAAGCGCGAGGACGAGGACGAGACGGAGGAGGACGAGTTTGAGGAGGAACGATGCGGAGGAGGAAAAAAGGAGGAGGAGGAGGAGAAAAAAACAACAGAAAAAATAATAAGAAGGACGACGGCGACGACGAAGGACGGTAAGGAGCCCGACGGAAAGGACGTCGAGGAAGAGAGGGGTCCTCGTGACTTTTTAAGGCTACTCTGCGGGCTGTTGAGGCCGCATGGAGCTATCTTGGGGCATCCTCGGGGTCTTGGGGGCCTGTCAAGGTCCTCTTTGGGGGGCTACTGGGGTCCTCTTGGACTGCCTGGGCATGCCTTTCTACGAGGGCTCTCTCAGGCCATCTTGGCGCCATCCTTTTTTAACGTTATCTTACTATACCAGTTAGGAACTTTCTGCCCCAAGGGCGTAGTCGTCATGCAAGGCCCGACGCCGAAGCAGAACAGCATCGGGATCTACGACAGCAGGCCTGGCAAACTCGACAAGGGGGCGGCATGCCTCCCATTCCAAGGAAGCAGCGAGTGCCACACGGCCTATATACACAATCGCACGAGTGCACCACCTTTACCGTCGCAACGCTACGAAGCATTGTAGGCAACGGATAACAAACGCACAATGCTGCCGTTGCTCATCTCGCTCCAGGCCACCACGCGCTGAACGACCGCCAGCGCCGCGACTAAAAAGTTAGGCAGGACCTGGAAGGCAATTGAAGATGGCACAAGCGATGAGATCCGCATAGGGGCTGGACAGGCAGACGCGTCCTACGCCAGGCCCTGCAAATTCAACTGCACCCAGTCTCGAAGCATTTGGTCGGCGAGCCGATCGTCTGCTCGGTCGTCTTTGCTCACAACGTCTTCGGGGCCTCTCACCTGCATGGGTAGCCCAGCGTCAACTGCAGAGTAGAAGTGGCGCCACTCGGCGATACCGTCGTCGAGTCCAACTGTGGACAAGGCTCTCAATTCAAGCGCCGCCTCCCTCATCTCTCGGATAATGATCTGGCTGTCTACAGTGGCCAACTTCCACACGTCTCCCCTGTCTAATTCGTCCTGGAGCTGCCCCGCCCCCCAGCCGCAGTAGCCGGCAAAGAACATGAAGTCGTTGGCTCGCGGGTCGCCGCGAATCGCTAGCTGCTGCGCCTTGAACGAATCCATCGAATACACACCAGAAGCAATTCGTGTGGAGTCCAGGGACTGCTCCTCGTCGGTGTGCAGGCAAAACATGCGCGGAGACCCCTGGAGCTCCCCGGGCGGGAGGAAGCTGAGCGGCCTCAGGCCCTCGCAGTCCCCTCCGAACCAGACGCTCCGCGGGGGCCCCGGCAGCCCGAGCTGCGACGAGAGGACTCCCGTCGGCCGGTTCAGGATGATGCCCAGGTCGAAGTCCGCGCGATGCCTCACGATGAGGATGACGGACTTGTGGAAGTACTGCTGGCGGTCGGCGAAGTGCCCCCCGGGCCGGGACAGCAGCACGGAGCCCTGCTCGATCGCCCCGGTCGACCGCGCGGCCCCCGGCTGCAGCAGCGGGTCCTGCGACGCCCGCGGCCCCAGCAGCCACGACGCCGCCGAGGCCAGGCCCAGCGCGCCCAGCAGGCTCGCCGCCCGCCGCCTCTGCGCCGGCTCCGCGCCCCCCGCCGGGCGCCTCCCGCGCAGCTCCCCGCCGCCGACCACCCGCCGCCCCCGGCCGCGGAGGAGGCGCCCCTCCTCCACGAAGCGCCGCCCGCCCTGCGGCGCCCGGGCGCCCCCGCCGAGCGAGCGGGCGGGCGCGCGCGAGGGCGGCACCTCGGCTGGCGCCGGGGCGGTGGCCGCGCCCGGCGGAGGCGACCAGGGCACCGCCAGGGCGCCCTCCGTGGGTTCTCCGAGGGAAGCTGATGGGCCCATTTTCCACCACCGCTACCACAAGTAGGAGAGGGAGGAGGAGGAGGAGGAGGAGGAGGAGGAGGAGGAGGAGGAGGGAGGAGGAGGAGGAGGAGGGAGGAGGAGGAGGAGGAGGAGGAGTAGGATGAGGGAGGAGAAGGAGGAGGAGGAGGAGGAGGAGGAGGAGGGAGGAGGAGGACGAGGAGGGAGGAGGACGACGAGGAGAGGAGGACGACGAGGACGAGGACGAGAGCGAGGGAGGAGGATAGAGGAGGAGGAGGAGGAGGAGGAAGGAGGAGGAGGAGAAGGAGGAGGAGGAGAAGGAAGGAGGAGGAGGAGGAGGAGGAGGAGGAGGAGGAGGACCTCCTCATCCTTCCTTCTCCCCCGTCCTACATATGGTGGTGGTGGTTGGAAATTTACCCATCAGAAGCGGCGCCCAGCCGAGGCCGCCCCGGGGGGCGCCGTGGCGGCCAGCCGCGCGGAGCCCCGGGCCGGAGCGGCCGGGCCGAGGATGATGAGCAGGCGAGGAGCACCGCGCAGCAGAGGCCGCGCCACATGAGCTGCGGGGGATCCTTCTCAGTCGGGGCCCGTGGTCATCGCGCGGCCCACGGGTCACCACCAAAAGTGCCCGCCGCCTGGGCCGCGAAGGTCGCGCCCCAGACATGATCGCGTCGTGCAAAAATTCAGGACGGGAGATTTGTGGCTTCGGCCTCGGGGGGGCCCTCGCCGGGCCTCGAGACCGTCAAAAACGACTCAGGACGACAAATGGGTCCTAGGGAATGGGTCGGGACTTCCAGGGACCCCGTATTGACAAATTCAGGACGTCGCATGTCTGGGGCGAGCACTGGCGACTCGAGCCAAAATGGCTTGAGCCCAAATGGCTACGGAGGCCCTCTTGGCGCCCTCTGGGTTGGGCCGTCTTGGGGCCCTCTTGGGCAGTCCTGGGGCCTCTTCGGGCGCTCTTGGAAGCCTCTGGGCGGCTCTTCTACATTTGAAGAATCCGCCAGCCATGTTTAATCCACCCTTGATGCCCACACACGAGGGCAGGTGCCCAATGCACACGTGCCGCAAGAATCTTCGACACCACCCCTTCCTCATTTGCATTGGCACGTGTGATAAATCCGCAAGACACATGTCCGACACCCAACCTTGGCGCTTGTACGCGAGAAAGCATGTGCCAACTGCACACGTGCAAGACGCACGTACGACAACACATCCTGCGCGCAAATACCGGTGGCCGCATGTTCGACCACCCCTTGGCACGCGTGAAAACGGACACGCGTGAAAGTGTCCCTGCAACAAGCCGACAACGGTAAACAATCAATCCACCATGATTGTTTTCAGCTGCGATGAGAGGTCCCTCGAAAATATGCTGCTTTCATTCTTCGCGGCCGCAGAACTCTGGATACCTCCTCCGGGGTTAGATGATCGTCCTGGGCTATCGCTGCTGCCTTTGAAAACGAGCCCCAGCTAGAAGCCGGCAAACTTTAGGACAAACGGCGGGATTTCTCGGAAAAGCCATGTGGACGGTTCCAAACACCCGAACCCAACAATTGGGCGCCCGAGTTATCCGGGGTAACTCGGGTCCGGGGTAACTCGGGTCCGGGGTAACTCGGGTTTGGGTTCCCGAAAAACGAACCCGAGTTATCCCTGACCCGAGTTACCCCTGATGATTCGGGGCTCTGGACGCCCGAGTTATCCGGGGTAACTCGGGTCCGGGGTAACTCGGGTTCGGATTCCCGAAAAACGAACCCGAGTTATCCCTGACCCGAGTTACCCCTGATGACTCGGGGCTCTGAAACAAGGCTGCCATCTCTTGGGGACGCGCTCTTGACTTCTGGCTCTTCGCCGGCCTCCGCCGGCGAAGCGCCGCCTCCGTTTTCCTTCCGCAGCTGCCCGTATCGGCCTTCCGCCGCTTTTTCCGCCGAGGAAGGCATGGCGACGCCTTCGACCCTCGAGGGCCAGGCCCTCTCTGGAGGGTGCCACGTCGTCGGTGATCTTGGAAGCTGCGAGTGCCTCCTCGGCTGGCCCTCCTCCGAGCCCGCGGGCCTCGTACCGCCGCGGACGAAAAAGTGCACCCCCGAAAAAACCACGGCTGGAGCCCGAGAGGCGGAAAAACTGTCAGCGCGCCTTTCGTAGATCCTCTGGGAACACAAAAAAGCGGCACCACCACCACCACCACCACCACCACCACCACCACCACCACCACCACCACCACCACCACCACCGTGATGAGCCAGGGGGCGCAGTTCTCCCGGTGGTGTGGTGTGGCACCCCCTTCACGCTGGAGACATCCCCTGCGGTCGGGGACGTTTCCTCAGCGTGTGGCGGCGGCGACCCCAGCGACATGCCATATGCCTTGCGAGCGGATAGCGTGTCGCTCCGCTCCGCGGGCCGGAAGACTTCGAACGGCTCGGGACGCTGACGCCTTGGGGACTTGGACGTGGATCGCGTGTCGCGCCGAACGTTCCCGACTGTGGATCGGCCGAACCTTTCTGCGGCATCTCTCGAGCCACTTCGATCTGTGAGGGCCCCAGGGCCCGACTCTGATCGGAGAAGCCTGGCGTGAACAAAACTGCAACGCCCGGGACCAGACATCCGCCGCCCCATCTCTTCAACGCCAAGGGGTCCCCGAAGCCCCGACCCTCCCCCCAAGGTTCAGTCGGGCATGTCCCTGCACAGGAGGAATATTCAAAATTAGTAAAAAATCGAAGGTTGGGGGGTGAGGTCGCAATGGAACGGAGACCCCCAACCAGGAAATCGTTCCGTTTTGTTCGTGTCGTGCGTGCGGGCGAGGCGAAGCTGCGTGGGCGCGCGAGAGGAATGAACCCGCCGTTGCTAGGGCGAAGTCAAGATAAATGTTTCTCCTCCGTCCGTCCGTCCGGCGGTGGCCCTAGCGGTGTCCCGTGGTGTCCCGTTGAGAGAGATCGATAGTGAGATCAATAGTGAGATCGATGTGGTGTCCTGAGGTGTCCCGTGGTGTTCCAAAAAGTGAGATCGATAGTGAGATCGATAGTGAGATCGACATGTGTCCCGTGGTGTCCCGTTGAGTTAGGTCGATAGTGAGATCGATAGTGGAATCGATGTGGTGCCCCGAGGTGTCCTATGGTGTCCCGCTGAGTGAGATCGATAGTGAGGTCGATAGTGCGATAAACAGGTGTCCCGTGGTATCCCGTGGTGTCCCGTTGAGTGAGGCCGATAAGGAGATCGATAGCGAGATCGATGTGGTCTCCCGAGGTGTCCCGTGGTGTCCTATGGCGTTCCGCTGAGTGAGATCGATAGTGAGATCGATAGCGAGATCGATGTGGTGTCCCGAGGTGTCCCGTGGTGTCCTATGGTGTCCTGTTGAGTGAGATCGATAGTGAGATCGATCTGAGATCGATAGTGAGATCGACGAGTGTCCCGTGGTGTCCCGTGGAGCGAGATCGATCGAGTCAGATGTTGGTTCCCCCCCTTCCCCTCCCCCACAAACCTCCTTCTCACCCGAAGAGTGGTCGTATAGGTATAATATGTGGGGACGATCTGCTCTGCCAGTCGGAGAATTTTGTTTTACTACTCGGAACTTCTCTCTTCCAGAACCCGCCTGTAGGAGGACATGCCCGATACCCCCTCCCCGGGGGCCGGCCCTTCGCCCCGCCGACGGCCTGGCGGCCCCGGGGGCCCCCCGGCGAGCGCCGGAAAAGACGGTGGCACCGCCGCCGCCCTGGCCTCGCCCGCAGAGGACACGCCACGCCCTCGGCCGCCGCGGCGGCCGCGGCCGCACCGCGGCCGCCTGGCCGCGGCCACACGCGGAGGCCGCAGCGCGGTGGCACCTCCCTCGCAGCAGGGGCGGAAGGTGCAGGTCGAGGGAAGACGGCCGGGCTGCCGAAAGCAGGAGCCACGGACAAGAGGCAAGACCCTCCTTTCTCTTCCCGGCTGAGCCGTGAAATCCGGAGGGGCGGCCGCAAAGTCCGGAGGAGCACCGACGGGGCTCGCCACCAACAAAAGGCGACGGGGCGCCTGCAAAGCAGAGGAACCCACGCGCCCCTTCCGACATCGAACTGGACATTGCTTCAACGAGCCGACTTGACCAAAACCCCCGACGTCACGATTTTCTCACAACGTCGACCCTCAGAGGTCTCGACCCAGTCCCTGGGACCCGCCTTTCGTCCTGCATCGTTGTGTGACGGCTCCGAGGTCCTGCGAGAGCCTCCCGAGGCCGAACATGGCCCAAAACATTCCGTCCTGGTTTCGTTGTCGACGCGATCATGTTTGGGAGGAGATCTGGGTCGGGCTCCGCTAAGTCGCCAGGCACTCGGGCTCGGCGTCGGGCTCCTCCACGAGAGGCTCCTGACCCCCGCCGGACGCCGGCTCACCGGGCCCCCGCCGCCTCGAATTCAGCCTCGAGCGGCCAGGCCCTCAGGGCCCAAGGCCATGTGACCCCATATCCTCCTCCTGCTCGCGCTTCCTCCTCGTCCTCGTCCTCCTCCTCCTCCTCCTCCTCGTCCTCGTCCTCGTCCTCCTCCTCGTCCTCGTCCTCCTCCTCTTCCTCCTCCTCCTCTTCCTCCACCTCCTCGTCCTTTTCCTGCTCCTCCCCCTCCTCCTCCCCTCCTCGTCCTTTTCCTGCTCCTCCTCTTCCTCCCCCTCCTCCTCCCTCTCCTGCTCCTCCTCCTCCTCCTATCTCTCATCCTCCTCTCCTTTTCCTCCTCCTCCTCCCTCCTACTCGGACTTCCTCTCCTCCTCCTCCTCGTCCTCCTCCTCCTCGTCCTCCTCCTCCTCCATTTCTCTCCTCCTCCTCCTCCTCCTCGTCCTCCTCCTCCTCCCTCCTTCTCCTCCTCCTCCTCCTCGTCATCGTCTCGTCTCCTCCTCCGCCTCCTCCTCCTCCTTTTCTCTCCTCGTCGAACATTATCCTCCTTCTCCTCCTCCTCCTCTCTCCTCCTCCTCATCATCATCATCATCACCACCACCACACCACCCCACCACCACCACACCACCACCACCCACCACACCACCACCATCATCATCATCATCATCATCCATCAATCATCATCATCATCATCATCATCATCATCATCATCATCATCATCATCTCATCATCATCATCATCATCATCATCATCATCAATCATCATCATCATCAATCACATCATCACATCATATCATACATCATCATCACATCATCATCATCATCATCATCATCAGCATCCATCATCATCATCATCATCATCATCATCATCATCATCATCATCATCATCAGCATCATCTCATCATCATCATCATCATCATCATCACCACCACACCATCACCATCACCATCATCATCATCATCATCATCATCATCCTCATCATCATGCATCATCATCATCATCATCATCATCATCATCATCATCATCATCATCATCATCTTCATCTTCATCTTCATCTTCATCTTCATCTTCATCTTCATCATCATCATCATCATCATCATCATCATCATCGGCATTCCCCAGCTCCTCCTCCTCCTCCTCCTCGTCCTCGTCCTCCTCCTCATCCTCCTCCCCTCCTCCTCCTCCGCTTCCTCCTCCTCCTCCTTCTCCTCCTCCTCCTCGTCCTCCTCCTCCTCCTCTTTCCTCATCCTCCTCCTCCTCCTTTTCTCTCCTACTCCTTCCTCCTGTGTCCTCTCTCCTCTCTCCTCTCTCCTCCTCCTCCTCCTCCTCCTCCTCCTCCTCCTCTTCCTCCTCCTCCTCCTCCTCGTCCTCCTCCTCCTCCTCCTCCTCCTCTCCTCCTGATCCGCTCTCCCTCGATATCCTCCTCCTCCTGCTCCTGCTCCTCGCTCCTCCTCCTCCTCCTGCCTCCTCCCTCCTCCCCTCTCTCCTCTTCTCTCTTCTCTCTCCTCCTGTCTCCTCTCTTCTCCTCGACTCCTCCTTCTCCTCCTCCTCCGCCTCCTGCTCCCTCATCCTCCTCTCCTCCTCATCATCATCATCAGCATCTCTCATCCTCATCATCAATCATCAATCATCATGATCATCCCCCAGTTCCTCCTCCTCCTCTTCCTTCCTCCTTTCCTCTCCTGTTCCTCCTCTTCTGCATTATTATTCCTCCTCCTCCTCCTCCCCTGCCTTTCCTCTGTCTCCGAATAGCCTCATCCTCCTCGCCCTCCTGTCCTCTTCCCTCCTCCTCCTCCTCATCCTCCTCTCTCCTCCTCTCTCCTCCTCTCGTCTCCGCTCTCCATCTCTTCCCCCGACTCCTCTCTCATCGCTTCGCTCCTCCTCCGTCGCCTCCTCCTTCTCTTTCTCCTCCTCCACCCCTCCTCCTCCTCCTTGTCCTCCCTCCTCCCTCTCTCCTCCTTTTCCTCCTCCTTTTCCTCCTCCTCCTCCTCCCTCCCCTCCTCCTCTTCCTCGTCCTCCCCCTCCCCTCTCCTCCTGTCTCCTTTTCTCACCTCCTCTCTCCTCCTCCTCTTCCTGCTTATCCTCCTCCTCCCTCTCCCCGTTTTCCTCCTCCTCGCACGTAGCTCGGAATGCAATTCGATTAATCCTCTTCTTTAAATTGTTTGAGCTATTGGGCACGAGCTGAGGCCCTCGCACACTCGGCGATCGGGGCGGCGATCGCGGCCTTCTTTACATTCTACATGTAAGAAACAATCTCAACTCTCTGGACGGCTAGCTTGCGCTGATCATCTGTCATCTTCGCCGGCAAAGCAAGCCTACGATCAAGGAAGGGCTCGATCGGGACATTCGGTCTCAAGATATGTAGAACAGCTGTCCAGAGCCCGGGACAACTAAGGTCCTGGCCTTGCGCGTACAACTCATGAGGACAACCGAGTTTGCATGGGCAGTCTCTTTGCGACATGCGTCGTTCCGTCGTCCCCCCCCCCCTACACCTTAGTCCTTCTCATAGAGATCTGCCATGCTGGAGGCACTAGAACAAGGACATCTCACAGCTTGGCCCAACTTAAAGCCGCGAGAGCACGCGTTGTCGGGGGCCGCGAGGCCCACTTCGAAACGCGCTTCGCAATCGTCTCTCCCCGAGAGTCAACCAGGATAGCCTCTTCCAAGCCACGAGCAATCGCCCTCTGGATGGGCGCTCCGGGAAGGATTTTGCGAGCTTCCGAGAGAGAGTGGCGGGCACGCAAAACGTGCTGATGCAAGTGCGGACAGGCTGGAAACAACTGGCTGACATCATACAACTCCTGTGCAAACGGGCGAGCAAGCCAATGTGAAGGGGACCAGTGATCCGCTGCCCAGACGACCATGGGCAAGTGTGTGGCACTGCTGCTTTAGGCGAGACCAGAGAGGGCGCCAACTAGTAACTGTCGAAACTGCAGACCGAATGAACGCAGCTGCGGAAGAGACGCGAAGAGATTGAGGGCGGATGCGAGACCAAAACCGAAGCGAAAGCAAAGAAGAGAGACGAAACGAGAAAGGTGGGAGATGAAGCGCGCGGTGCAAGTACCGGCTCGGCCACTTCGAAATGGATTTCGGCGCTGGCGAGAGCTGAGCAAGATGAACCAACTTCGAGACTGCGCGAGACTTGCACAGAGCGGTTACAACTGAGGGGTGGCCTTCGTCGCAGCGAGATCATGCACGACACCGTGCCACTCACGAGACACCCTCGCCAGCATCACGTCTCTCGATGCTGCGTGGCCGATCAACGCCCCTAGATATTCAACACAGTCGACTATGGGGGTGGTAGCCCACTTGGGCACTCGCTTGGATAAGAAACTCTGCATGCTATCATTTATCTCGCACGAGAATGCAGCGCCGACAAGCATCAAGTTGCACGCCTGAAGCTTTAATTGGAGACCCGCTAGGATTTGCGCAGCATCGCAAACACCAGTCAGGTTCACAAAGGTTTTGATATCTCGAACAGACACCCCGACATCATCCGCATAGGCGCCAATCTCCGCCCCAGGGAATGTCTGCAGCCTCTTGCGCATATCACGAATTATCGGATCCATGCACAGGGCCCACGTTGTGCCACTAAGTGGGTCACCCTGCATTGCGCCCGACTCAATGAAGCAAAAGAAGGAACAGAGACCTTGCAAAGCTACAGAAGCAGCACCGAATGAATAAGTGACACGAGTGAAATGCTGAGAGCTGAGAGGGAGATTGAAGAGCTCAAACAAACACCAGAGAAAGATATGACAGAGTGAGGGGGAAGCATTTTCAAAGCCCAGCAAGAGCAGAGCAGGAAGCTCCTCCTGCACGGCAGGCTACGCGCTGGCAAGACTTGCAGACGTGTCGAGGAGGACCGCGTCATCAAGAACGTGCCATTGAGCAGCGAAGCCTCTCTGGTCTGGGTGTGCGACACGTGTGAGAACCGGCTTGATGGGGGTAATTACACGCCGAGGCAAAAATCTTAGCATCTGTGTTTTTGAGCGCTAGTGGCCTCGCGGCAGCAGGCTCACGAAGAACAGGCGATGAGTCTTCTGCGCGCCGACCCTTAGGGGCAAACACCAGAAGTAGCCCATTCAGCTCAACGGGTGGGGGATGGCCACTCAGAAGAACCTGAAGTACATCGAAAAGAACAGGGCCTGCAGGACGAATCTGCTGCCAAGCGGCGCGCGGAAGCCCGTCAGGGCCTGGGGCCGTCGGCGAGGCACAGTCTATCGTTTGCTCAATTATCTCCTGCGTCGGGGGCGAAACCTCAGACCAATCAAAAGGCTTGACATGCTTCTCTAGGAAGGTGCGAAAGTGCCCGGACGAGGCCGATTTCGACGCAAAAACTGGGGCCCACTGGTCTCGCAGGGCCTGGGTCATTTCCGAGGGAGAGGTGAGAGGGGCACCAGAGGAGGGGTCCTCAAGGCCCTGGAGCGGGAGAGTCTTGCCTCTCGGGGCCCAGAGTTCCCCCCTGCGTCGCTCAGCCCTCATATATGCTCGAAGGCGCTTCTTTTCATGATATGGGGTGTGCTCCGCACGAACCTGAGAATGAGCAGCCTCGATTCGCGCATCCTGGATCTCACGCCTCAGCTGCTCGCATTGACGACGAAAGTCCACAGGGGGCGTGCAGCGAGACCGTGGAGGACGCTACGTCGAGCTGCATGTGATCTTTAGCGAGAGGCGTGCGAGTGAGCAGAATTGAAGCCAGCTTTACATCATCAACGTGAACCGCTGGAGAAACCTAGCGAAAAATGATCAAACGAGCCTCCAGAGGGGGGTCGCAGAACGGGTCAGTTTGTCGCGGGCAAGTCGCGCAGCCTCCCTCATCAACCTCTTGAGCTGACGCCACCTGGGAATCGGCGATCGCCTCTCCAATTCCGACTAGCTGATCAGCAGCTGGAGCATCTCCTGATACTCCCTGGACTTGCAGAGGAAGGCAGGTACAGCTTGCTGGTCACGAGGTCGTTGAGGCCGTCCACGAAAGGTGATGGAGA